ACTACCTCGTTCCTTCCCTCTATTTACTAGTAAATCTAGATATCGATCTAGCAGTTTCTATATCTACATTTGTGACTATTTTATCACGTTCTATAAATATTCTGAAATTATACCCATAAATATTGTTCTATATTCTTCATCTTTTATATTTTTTACTTCCTTCCTTGATATTCGTGGTATTTTCGTTTTCTTCCAAAATGGCTTCAATTACTATTTCTCTGACTTACAATACTATATAAAATATTGATCTTTTATTTTTCTGATTCACACTGAATCTGAAACTATTTATTTAACATAACGGGGTCATTGTTTATAACTATTATATATATATATATATATATATATATATATATATTTACACATTATATAAACAAAACGAATATTCATTAATTCACATAATAATCCATCGAAGTTTATTATAAAATTAAATAAGAAATTAACCGAATGTAACATATGTACATTATAATTCCAGATTTTATAATAATATATTAATATACATTATTTCTAAAATATAATAAGTAATGAGCAAGGTATATTATATTTAGAATCTAATAGTCTAATAGTAGAATAATAAAAAGAATATTATAATAGCATATACTAATTAAAACAGAATACAGTAAATCTACAATACGGTATCATTTAATAAATAATAATTAATGTTAAAATAATTAAGCAAATATGGTATTTAATAAATATTAATTAAAGGCTTTGTATATTAAAAATTAAATTACCATAGAATATTTTTTATTATTAGCAAATATAATTTAATTTATATAATTATATATATTATAATATAGTTATGTAGATACAGGCATAATAATTTATGCGTGAGGTATAGCCTTAAATCTTAAGAACATTCTATAATAATAAAAATATATTCTATATAATTGATTTATATGCGCTAAAATTTTTGTAAACGATTTATATTATATAAAAATCTTAAAAAATCTTAATTAATCTTGCAGTTTCAATGTTTACCCTTTATGACTTTCAATCTAGATTATTAGAAATTTTACTTTGATTCAAATTCTATGTTTTTTATCATGTCATTTTAAATATAATAAACAAAATAAAACAAAAAATTAATATTAATTAATGTTTCTTACTAATATATTTTAAACGTATTATATATACAAATTGGAAATTTAGATATGGACAATCGTTTTTCATTTTAATTAGTAAACGTTTATTTTAATATAATAATTAGTTATAAAAACTTAATAAGTATTTAATTAATATATTATCTGTATCATAAATTATGTGTATATTACATAAAATATTGCTCTTCTAAATTGATCATGGTAGATTTGAAAAAATAATTTTAATAATTGTGATTGATTTGTTTGGCATTGGATTAATGAATGTAATGAAATAATTTAAATCTTTATTCCGCAGTTTCTATGATGTAACTTTTATGAAGATAATAAAATTCACACTTGATTTCAATACTTTATGCCATTGCATATTGAAAAGTTGAATAAAAAAGTATTGAGTGGATTATCGTTAACGAAACCTTAAAATACAAAAGAACAATCCTGAATTTTACGCAATTGTTGAAAACCGTGATCGTCTATTTGGCATTCAACATCGAGGGAAACCAGCGACTAATTCTTTCTCTAACTTTATTCATACATACATATATATGAAAAAATCATTCATATATATATATATATATATTTTTTCAATTAACTTTTCATATTCTTTCAGTTTCTCTACTCATTTATTAATTCTCATTGTATCGGTAAGAATATTATTTTTAAAATTCAAGCGTTTTTTATCGGATACCATTTTAATGCTCATACATTTTTAATAAAAAAATTTCAACACTTTGCAAAGGTTTAGAGACGTATTCACATATTAACGACATATGAAAGTGTATCCTGATATATTTGGGATAAAATATTTTGTGTAAAATATTATCCAAAGAGTAAAATATTATTTAAATTTTTTTATACTTATATTTCATATAATTTAGTAAGATTACTTAATTTATTATATAATATTCATTGGCTATTTATATAAGTTTTAAAAAACATTTTTTTTACAACAAATACATTAAATTATAAAAAATATTTATTGTAAATTTATATGATTTATAATAAATATAGGAAAATTTTTAATTTAATTATTTACAATATTCATTATGTTTTATATTATTTTGAGTATATTTATATATTTAATCAGACAAATCAGAAAATTTTGTATAATACGTATTATATAATAAAAAGTCAATATTTAAACATGTTTGTAGTATTGGATAATTAAATTAAAATTTTAAAGGGATTCCTACAAAAAATTTAATTTCACAAGAAGAACAAATTGTATTTGATTAAAAAGATGCTAATTTTGAACATTGAAAAATCTTTACATCTTGTACATTTAAGATAAAGTTAAAATGAAATTGTATACATCGTTAACACTTTCTTAAGGAACTTTTACTTTTCAAAGTTTTTTGAATGCGGATGAAATAAAAATGTTATAAAATTACATATGAAAGAGACTTGAGTAACATCTCAGTCTATTAATTTAAGTATAATATAATATACTCAGTATATTATTTTAATATATTCAACTGAATATATTAATTACTGATATCAATTCTATTATTTAATTAATTCTAAATTTAACTTATTCTTCTGTACAGCCGTATTGTACTTTTAAAAATATTAATAGAAAGAACTTTAACCTCTACATCATTTTTTCATTACGATCATAAAGTGCAGATGCAGCTACCACAAACCGTTGTTAGTAATCAGAATACACGATTTCATGTATTTGTACAACAGTGTAATAATTTGACGTTCCTTTTTGTAATAATAATTTATTATTACATTATTTTTAATATATAGCGTTGTTGTGTAAATCAGAAAATAATTGCTATAAAGGTAAAAACAAATGAATTTACATGCTATCTAGTAAAATTATAAAACGTAATATTTTTAATATTCGTCAATTTTCCTGATCGCTGATTTTTCCAATAATTTCCAAGATGGTTTAATCTAAAATTAATATAAATATAAAATTGGAAAAATATTTTGTAGTACAATAATATGATTAATAACTTAATAAATTTATTTATATTTTTAATAGATTCAGTATTAAACGGAAATTATAGTATGTCTATATAGTTATATATATATAATTATTTTGAAATTCATGACTTAATTTTAAATAGAAATCCAATATGGTAATTGTCGATTAATCTGATTAAAAGTCTGTTAAAAAATCTGAACTTCGAAGCTCAGACAAATCTCATTTTTATTTAATTTTCAGTCCTTTTGTAGCTTGAGAATTATTTGAAAATCCAATATACGAAGTTGACTATTTCAATAGTTGGTGTTTCCTTATATTTTATTTTCCTTTATTCCTAAATTGAGTACAGCAATCACGTAAGAAATATAAAATCAAAAAATTCAGAGATTTTAATCTCCGGATTTCCGATTAATATTAGGTTATAAGTCGTTGAAAATACAATTTAATTGTTTAAATAATACCTGTTTGTTCAAATCCTGAAAAAGTACATGGAAGTGTGACACAAGTGAATCATTTCGTCGATTTTGTATGTAGGATAGAACACAACAGTATATTATGTTTCTTTATGGACGAAGACGGATAGCTCGTTTTGTGAATTTCAAATGATGTACGAGCGAAATCATACTAGAAAAAATCTGGAAATATTGAATTTTTGTATTTTTCGTTTCACAACTACGGCTGATTTAGTATTTTTCACTTTCACTTGTTTTAGATTCCCATTTACTTCGACTCATAATCTCCGGATTAGATAAAGCTTGTCCGAAGTGGTTTTAATAGCTATATATTTTGAGAATTTTCTCGAAGCTCAGAAATATTTTTGTATACACCATCGCAAATTGGTAATCAATTTTTCACTGTTATGTTAGACTATTTTAAAACGTTTGACAGGTTCGATTTTATATGAATGTATTATGTGAAAATATAAATGTGAATATTGAATTATAAAAATATAATAATAAACTCAATTATATTGCTTTATTAAGTAAAATATGTTTTTCTAGAATTGAAATTTTAATTAATACTTAAAATATTAACAATAGCATTAATTAATAGTAATAAGAATAATTAATGCAATCATATATACATTTCAGGGATGTTAGATTTTATAAATTAAATAAAATTTTTTAAATTTGCAATCGTGTTGTATATATATCTTTTAAAATATTATGAAAGAAATTTTATTTTCAAAAAATTTTAAATGAATCAAATCAACTTCTTTCATATAATTATATCAATTTTTTTAAAGAGTGTTTATTATTAAATGTTTTCTTAATAGTTTTTAATAATGAAGTAAATTATTGTGATTATTTTAATTTCGATACTTATTAATGTTACTATAAAGTATCTCTAAAAGAACGATTGAAAACTGTACAAAAGGAAGATTAATTGATAATTATTACTTACAAATAAATTAGTGGAATTATTATTATATGAAACTATTTAAATATTTTCAATAAATATAGGATATTTCAATTCATTACACTCATTGCAATATACAGTATATATATAATCATACATTATTTAACATTAAAAAAATCAAATAAAATCTATTTTAAAATTTTATTGCGAAATAATGAAGTAAGAATTATCAACTGGCATTTTAAGGTATATAAATAAATAGGTCAGTGATAGTTAAAAAAAGAACAATAAAATCATAAAACTATAATCATTTAATGAAGAATAATATATCATAAATTACAATATTTGATAGTCAAAAAAAGGAGAGTAGTTTAAAGCAATACAGTTTATTCTCAAAATTTGCATATAAGTTAATATGTACTTACCTAAATTTATCCGATATACAATAATTTTTTCGAGGATTGTAATTAATTAAAAATACATAACTTTAAATATAGATATGCATTTTTG